AAAACGATGCAAAAATCTGATTTTATAGATATTGTAAATTCACAAACGTTCTCATTACAAAAGATAAACCGTTTGATAAACCCTTAAAAGAATCCAGAATGATTTCTCAATAAATGATGTTTGTATAAAGCTGAATTAACTCTGGGTGGAGTAAGTACAGAGAACAGCGGGACAAACCATTAATTCAGTTTGCATATTTTATCCATAGATGGCTCTCCCGGCCTTTAACAAACATATCTATTCAAATTTCAATAGAATTACAATAAACCTGTAGTTGGATACTACAAGATCCCATCCTGACCTAAACCTACAGTTGACTAACCTTTTATTTAATACTTTAAATATTTATATCCCAAAGGATAGATATTGTAAATACTCCTCATTAGAAGAGTATAAAATATAATGGTGTGGGACTGCACAAAATTAATTCTTCATTTAAAACTTAGGGATTCAAATTAGATATCCAAGGTTTGAGACAATGTAGACGATGTATTCATTACATTTTTGTTTTAGAACAAATGTAAATGATTCATAGAATTTACTTACTTGCATTAAAGCTCCTGAGCTGGCATGGTTTATCAGAATGATATTCGGATAAAGTTAGATTCAAGTTTATTAAGATTAATTAGCTAATCTGGTATCCTATGAATCTGTGAACTCGGCGCAGTAAATTGAACCGGATTATGAAAGCAAAGTATGGGATGGAAGCAAAGCGGGGGGGGGGGGGGGGGGGGGTGAAGGTTTCTTTTTCATGATACTATGCTTTAGGGCTCTGCGCACCAATCTTTGATTTCATCTCTTAATTAAAAAAATAACCAAAAAAAGGTTCGCGGCTCTAATAACATATTTTCACGCATTTTTAAACCTTCCCTGGCGTCGGTTCAGCCGTTTTGACGTTTATTGGATACAAACGGACAGACACCAAGACAAGCAAAGTATATTTATGATTTGAAAATTATTTAAAACAGAGAAGAAAATGCTGTGTACTTATTTTGCTATTTTTAGTGTAAAGGTTTATTCAGTTCCTCAATTTTTTTAAGGAAAACTTAAAAATCACTCGTCATCATGTTGCAGAATGCAGATGCATGTTATACAATTTATACCAATGTTGTTGGTTATGTAAGGATTCCAGATGAGAGGGGAAACTTACATGAATGCAGTAAATGCGGTATATGGGTAGTGAGGAGGGGGNACTGTATCTGAGTATAGGAGATAAATCAATTAAACCCTTCTCTAGTTCAGTGTGTATCCACTGTATCTGAGTATAGGAGATAAATCAATTAAACCCTTCCCTAGTCCAGTGTGTATCCACTGTATCTGAGCATAGGAGATAAATCAATTAACCCTTCTCTAGTCCAGTGTGTATCCACTGTATTTGAGTAAAGGAGATAAATCAATTAAACCCTTCTTTAGTCCAGTGTGTATCCACTGTATCTGAGTAAAGGAGATAAATCAATTAAACCCTTCTCCTAGTCCAGTGTGTATCCACTGTATCTGAGCATAGGAGATAAATCAATTAAACCCTTCTCTAGTCCAGTGTGTATCCACTGTATCTGAGCATAGGAGATAAATCAATTAAACCCGTCTCTAGTCCACAGTGTGTATCCACTGTATCTGAGTATTGGAGATAAATCAATTAAACCCTTCTCTAGTCCACAGTGTGTATCCACTGTATCTGAGTATTGGAGATAAATCAATTAAACCCTTCTCTAGTCCAGTGTGTATCCACTGTATTTGAGTATAGGAGATAAATCAATTAAACCCTTCCCTAGTCCAGTGTGTATCCCCTGTATCTGAGCATAGGAGATAAATCAATTAAACCCTTCTCTAGTCCAGTGGGTATCCACTGTATCTGAGTAAAGGAGATAAATCAATTAAACCCTTCTCTAGTCCAGTGTGTATCCACTGTGTCTGAGTATAGGAGATAAATCAATTGAGCTCTCTCTCGTCCAGTGTGTATCCACTGTATCTGAGCATAGGAGATAAATAAATTAAACCCTTCTTTAGTCCAGTGTGTATCCACTGTATCTCTAGATAGAGATAGAGGATAGTTTCATTTGAACAGTTTTATAACGAAAAATTGGAAATGTTATCCATACAAACTTTTTATCAGTATGGGAATTCACAAGTGAAAGAAAGATTTAAATATTTCTTTTTTAGAGTTTTACTTGAGTTCTTTTCAAATATTTAACATTTACATAAATATATAACATTTACATGAATGTATATGCTACCATTATTTTTAAATTTGCATATGAAGTTTTTTTGTGTTTGTTACTCATAAAGTTATACTCCTTAATTCATTCTTCAAATTGTCACGGAAAATTCTTGAAACTTTCGAGAATGATACAAATATTCAATCTAGTTGATCTGTAAGTCTGTTTGGAAACCTGCATTTTTTTAAAACTTAAATTTTTTTCTAAAACACCTTAATTTTTTAGAATGCAACTAATATTCTTTGTAGTTGATGGGACTGTAAAGGAAAAATGAAAGAGGGTATCGAATCTCAGGCGTTGAACGATAAATATAAGACATCTATCTGATGTTCCTTCTCGAGAAATTGATATAAAACTGAGTCAAAATTAAACGAAAATCTATATACGTGAAATTTTGTATAAAAGTAGTAGGTTTATGTACAATAACACAGATCATATTCAGCAAATACGCAAACAATCTAAAAACGATTATATCCCAAAGCTCTCATTAAAATTTTTTAATCATAAATTTTTATTTCTTTTTTTATTAGATATAATTGATAATATTATTTAAAAGTCCGTATTATGTCACAAGAACGTCCGCCAATGAGAGTGCAGTATACTGGTCACGTGATAGACGGGAATCACGTGACCAGTATACTGAACTGCCATTGGCTGAAGTTATGGTGACGTAATACGGACTATACGGACTATATGAAGTTATATTCTCCATTATATCTATTAAAAATGCAAATAAAAATTAAATGATTATAACAGGAGAAAACCTGAGATTCTTAGGTTTCTGTGGGATATCATCGTTTTCAGATTGGTTTCGTATTTTTGGAATATGATCTGTTTTATACTACAACTTTTATACAAAATTGCATATATATGAATTTTCGTATAAATTCTCAGGTTTCATATACCCCCTTTCGTTTTTCCTTTACAGTCCCTTTCATCTGTAATTCAGTTTTGAAACCTGCACTTTCCTTAAAACACCTGAGTTTTAAAATAACATTACGAACCATTTTAGGAATTAATAAATAGGTCTCGAAAACAAAATGCTTCTTGTAACAATTGTGTTCGATTCTTGCCTTCCTGACAAAGCTTCCATCGTAAAAAAAAACACAGAGAACAAGCATGTTTTGTGGCCTACCAGGACCCACTGCAAGATAGTAAATCGTAAATTCACAATCCAAATAGCTTCTCCATTTAGGGGCTCACCCCATACCATTGAGAGCTCCAACCCCAAACCTTTTAGGAACCTAGATACTGATGAATGGATTTCCAGCGTGCTGTATACACACACAGGTTTACATCTGCATTGGTATTTTCAATATTTTAGATTCTTATATGGACAGTGAGTTGGTGGGTGGAGGGGGGGGGGTATTACCCCTATATGTATTTGGTGATGTGACAGAATCGAATATATTACTTTGAAGCTACAAAAATTTCTTCGCTCACCCAACTTTTACCTTCATAACACTTGGATTTTTAATTAAAAGGATTTGAGTCTTTGCCACAAACTCTGATTTTCTAATCCCTATTTTTTAGAAACCCAATGTTGTAGACCTTAGATATTTCAAACTATGAATTCTGTTAGATCAAAAAATCTAAGTTTGAAATATCAACGTTGCAAACATATAGGGAAAATTTGAGTTTGTGTCAAAGGCTCAACTCCTTTATGTAAAAATTAAACATTAAAAATTAAACATTTAGAAATCGATTTTTTTTCTAAATCATAAAACCTAAAAATGTAAAATTTTAAGCAAACGAATTTTCTTGAACTTTTTGCAACTCTAACTATTAAATTTAAAATCTTGTTACAACTAGATTAATAATGTTGCTACATATATATATCTAATTTCAAATATTGCTAAATGTTGATAAATACTTTCGAATATTGCTACAGCTAAATATCTAAGTTCAAAAATTACTACTGCTAGATATATATTTCAAATATTGCTACAGCTATATAATTTATCAATTAAATACGAATTTTGCAATTAACCAATGGACCCCTTTGAGCGTAAGGACTGACTTAGTTGGTCTTAAATTAAAAAAAATGGAAAATTATGTGGTTTTAACAAAAAAGGAGATAGTTTAAATTGATATTATTAAAACTGCTTTATTTGAATTGCACCATAAAAAATAAATTTCAACCATGTACACAAAAATCAAATTTAAGAGATCAGGTCCCAGATATTTAAAAATCATATTCTATTCAAAATATCATTTTTGATATTCAATTTTTAAATGTGTTAGTAACCCACTCGAGTTTATTCTGAAGAGTCCTGTTTTATGAATAGAACCTGGATTCAAGATCCAATCTTTTAAGACCGATCCTTGCAGTTGAATGCGCTCCCTGCGCTCCTGTCAAAAATAAACAAATCTTAATTAAAGAATAATACGCTCTTCTATACAATTTGTTACTCTTGACAAATATGATTTTCAGAAATGATTAATGATAGAAAACTGAAAATACAAAAGTTTTTGCTTTAACGTTTAAAGGGATTAACATTTAAAGGGATTAAGGTTTAAAGGGATTAACATTTAAAGGAATTAACGTTTAAAGGGATTGTCGACGTTTTAAAATTTCCGGTTTAAGGTATCTCCATTTAGAAAGAAAAAGGGCACACCTAATTCCCACTAATACACTGTAAACCTGATCAATAATATGAGAGATAAGATTGTTTTTCTAGGTTTAGACGTGTTTGATTCTAACAAAGGAATTGTGTTTGTGCCAAAGACTCCATAGAATATTTCTTTTGTAAGAAAATGTATTTTTGTAAATGTTTCAGAATATATATATATATATATGTCGGAATGGAACACACTTGATCAACTTGAAGAACACAAAGACTAGTGAAGGAATTAGCCCCGTAGTGAATAATGGGTCACAAGTGAAGAAGGAACAGTAAACACGTAAACATGATAATCAAAAACATTTTTATATTCATTCTCTCTCTCACGCATCTCCTGCATGTTGGTGGAGCAAGGTTGAAGTGCGGGAGAAGAAGTTTAGAAAACGGATCTGGGATTAAGATCGGATCAATGATGGTATTTTCCTGTAATTCTGGTTTCAAGCTTCACGGGTCCACGTTAGGAAAACTTGAATTCTCATCAGCTAAAAGAAATTTTCAATTTTTCTGTTTATTAAAAACTTAAAGAAATTGAGAACTTGCCATAAACTCAAATTTTCTAATCCCTTTATCTTCGCAACCTGATTGTGTAAACTTTTAATATGACAAACTTAGATTATTTGATCTATCAGAACTCATAGTTTGAAATATCAATGGTCTACGATATTATTGGGTTGCAAATATAAAGGAATTTAAAGATTAGAGTTTGTGACAAAAACTCATCTCCTTAGTTCTCTGAATTTTAGTTTTAAACAGGAAAGTGTGTGGGCGGAGTACTGATTTCAGATCTCCCGGTTTGCAGAGAGACCAAACCAGAAAAACAATCCAAACACTTAAATAAATCTTTACATCACGGGAAGGGACACGTAAACAGGAATAAATGGAAAAGTAACAAGGTAGGAAGTTTAAAAAAAGTAACTGATTGATTACTTTCCTCGTACTTAGAATTTCTAATATTTATATCTTTAAACCTAATGTAGTTCTTTTAGAATTTCAAACTAAGACTTCTTTTAAAAAAATGGGCAATAAATTTCTTGTTTGAAATAAAAACTCTATAAATGGATAGTCATTTGAAATTACGTCTTCAGTTCCTTTAGCAGTGGGAAAGGAGGTGGGGGGGGGGGCAGGGAAGGCTCTCCCCCTCCCCCTAACTTTGGTAATCATATTTATGATTCATCCCGGATCATTCGCCACCTTGTTTTGATCTTGTTAACCTCGTCTCAGTTGAGATCTTGAGATTGAATCAACTTTGTCAGGAGGAGAAACAAATTTATCTGGAAAACTCATTGGAACTGCAAGCAAAGAATATGATACACACCAGGGTAACACAATCTCATCAGGGAAAGATGAAGGACGGAGAAAAGATGAAAAAACAAAATGGCGGAAAGAAAAAGAGAAGATTAAAGAAAGGAGATGGGAAGAGAAAAATAAAGGATTTGATGCTGGCAGATCAGCCACCTGGCTTAGGTAAGGAGTATTTTGTGACTATTTATTATCTAGATCTATAACAAATAGCAAGGGGTTGGGTTTAAAAGTAACGTTAGTTTTAAATAGTTTTTAATTTATTCATTAATTTAGTGAGAGAGTACAAAGAAGGTGTAGTGGGACAAAATTAATAATAGTAATAATAATAATAAAAAAGGATAATATTTATAATGATGCTAATAGGTACAATAATAGTGATTATAATAATAATATTACTTTCATTGATGAATCAAATGATGCAGATGGTCCATCATACTATGATTATGATTATGGAGCCCAAGAAGAGAACTCTGGGGATACAAACAATATTGAAGAGTATACCGAGGAAGCATATAATCAGAATAATGAACAAGAGTACTCTACTGAGTATGATGACTATGGTGAGAAACAGAACAAAGCAAAGGAGATAAATGAGGATGAACGTGAATATGAGGATGAGTATCAGGAAGTAGAGGTTAAAGAAAATGATCTTAATAATGAAAAAGATTTGGTGGAAGTGGAGACAGAAGAAGTGAATACAGATAGAGACCAGTTAAAAGTAGAGGCTGAGAACAGGAACAACATTGCTGATATCAATCCATCTGAAGATGTGGAAAATTCACCTGTAGAGGATTATGAAGACACGCCTGAAAACAATAGAGAATATGAAAATGAGAATGACCAGAAAGAATACGATGAAGAATATGAAGATGATGATAATGAAAAGGTTAAGAAAGAACAAACAACCCAGGTTTCTGAAGTGCATTCAAATGAAATAAAGCCTCTAGAGATCACTGAAATAGATGAAGATTATGGCAATGAAACCTATGACAATGAAAATGAAGTCACAGAAACAGATGAAAGTGAATACAGAGAAGAAACAAAAAATGAAGTGCATTCAAATGAAATAAAGCCCATAGAGATCACTAAAGCAGATGAAGAAGAAGATTATGACAATGAAATCTATGACAATGAAAAAGAAGTCACAGAAAACGATGAAAGTGAATACAAAGAAGAAACAAATGATGAAACGCAAAACTATGATTATGGCAAAGAAAATGACAATGACTTGCCAGCAATTAATAAGAACACAAGTTTAGAGGATTTTGAAAGCAGTGGATATGAGCAAGAAAAGAATAAATCTTCTGGCCAGGATGAGTATGAAGACCATGAACATTATGATGACTATGACGAGAGTAGAGCAAAAGAAAAGGAACTAGAAATTAAGCAAAATATTTATGAAAAGTCTGATAGTGAAACTGAGGTTCATGTTGCAAAAGAAACCAAAGATTCTGACTTATATGAGTCTTCTGGGGATGTCGATTCTTACAGTGATTTAGATTCTGACTACTATGAAGAGTATGAGGAAGAGCCAGATAGTGTTGATCAGGATGGGGAACCGAATATGAAGAGCCAAGATGTCTACACTGAAAAGGATGGGGATGAAATTGATATCGATGAAGGGAAGGAAGACATAGATTATGATGAAAATAGGAAACCAGTCAAGGAAATCGATTTAAAGGAAGATGTAGAAGATTCCTCATCCTGGATTGAGGGATCTGGGTATAAAGTCACTGATGATGAAGATGAACTAGAATCATCTGGAATAATTTCAGCACCAGCTGCAGTTCCTTATCAAACAACCATGAAAACAATACTTACCCCTCCAACAACAATGAAAACACCAGTTCATGAAAGCTTCGAAAATACATTTGATGACGAAGATCTATATTTTGAGTCCTCTGGGGCGGAAGAAGAAGGATCAGGGATATTTCTGGAAGAGATAGGATCAACTGGTAGCAGCTTCAGACAAAACTTCTTTCTTCTGTATGAGGTTGATATTATGTCACTTGATGCAACTTGTATGGAAAACTTCCAGAGTGCCCCAACAATAAAAAATGCCGAAATAGCTGGTAAGTTTTTACCTCATTTTTATATTTATTTTTCATTTAGTTCAATAATTATATTTCAGGTTATGATGCAAGTAGAACAAACGTAGAACTCTCAAGAAAATATTCTGTTGTCACCTATAAATGCCAGGGATATAAATACAAATTGTATTTATTAAATAGATCGGAAAATATTTAGAACCACATTAAAACTATGTTTTTAGATTTTAGAATAAAGGATCTTTTGTATTTATATAATGATTGTTAGACTGGTTTTGAACTGGTAGATGATAGAATTGATTCCCTTTTCTGCAGTAATCTCAGATGGGTTGGAAAGCAACCTCGGTGTGAATTGATCAAAAATAGTCTTCCTCTAGATAACATCTGCCAGGTGAATTAAAATGAATCGAGTTCTCAGTATTTCATTTCACTTGATGATCTTTCCCTTTCTGTTTAACATGTAAAACATTTAAATATCAAATAAATATTTAAAGGATGGTGTTGGGAACTGTGATCAGCTGTGCTACATGGAGGATGGAAAACCGGTTTGCTCCTGCCACGAGGGATTCTACCTGGCTAAGGATGGAGACACCTGTGAAGATATTGATGAATGTAAGGAAAACAATGGTGGTTGTTCACAAATCTGCATTAACAGGTAGAAACAGATTAACAAGAATTAAATTTTCATTAAAAACTAATAATTTGTAAGTATCTAAATAAATTTATTTCAATGTTCAGGCCAGGAACCTTCTTATGTGAGTGTGGCTCTGGGTATAGTCTTCTTGATGAGAAAACCTGTCTTGATGTTAACGAATGTTTACTAAACAATGGGCATGGACCATGTCAGGTAAAGGTTTATCAATGTGATCTTTAGATCATCATGTATCATATGATTTTGTTCTCAGAGCAAAGTTGTTCTTTATAACTGTATGTTAAAGGATCCTAAATTTTAGTTAAGAATTATATACTGTATTCTCACTTACTGCATAGAACTCCTGCATTCTGATTTCATCCTCAAATTCTGATTTAAAGCTTATGTTTTTTGTTTATCTCTTTCATAATCTTGCTTTACATTACTCTATTCTTGTTTAGCACTCTCATATTTTTAATTTTTATTTCTCTATATTCTTGTTTAGCATCTCATATTCTTTCTTTATGGCACTTCTGTATTCATGTTTAGCACTCTTATATTTTGGCTTTTTATTACCCTATTATTGTTTATACTCTCATATTCTTGCTTCACATTACTCTACTCTTGTTTAGCACTCTCATTTTTTGCTTTTTATTACTCTATATTCTTGTTTAGCATCTCATATTCTTGCTTTATAGCACTTAAGAATTCTTGTTTAGCACTCTTATATTTTTGCTTTTTATTTCTCTATTCTTGTTTAGGACTTCTGTATTCTTGTTTAGCACTCTTATATTTGTGCTTTTCATTTCTCTATTCTTGTTTAGGACTTCTATATATTTGTTTAGCACTCTCGTATGTTTGCTTTATAGCACTTCTGTATTCTCGTTTATAGTTCCTGTATTCCTATTTTTTGTTCACTGTATTTTTAGGATTCCTGTGAAAACACAGAAGGAAGTTATCAATGTGGTTGTGATAATCTACCTGGAACCTCACTAGGTAAGCAAATATAACCCTGGGATGAACAACGTAGACTAAGTTGAATCAGTTTTCTTCTGCTTCATGACCCGGCAAAGCATTGAACTGGTTGAATTGGCAGTACGATATTCAACTACTTCTCGCTTTTCATAAAATCTGATCCCTGTTTTACAAGAAATTCAATAAATTATATACAAGTATGCAGTATGCGACTTTAGTGTAAACTGTACAGTGAATGTACAAAGCATAAATAATAACAACACAGATAGAACACTGGATGTCGTCTTTTCAAGATTTAGGGGTTTTTCGTTCACAATAACCCTAAGGCAGAAGCACAAAAGAGTTCCGCGCAGGCAGCGCATGCTCTCTCTCTGTCTTGTAATTCAAAGCTGCTGTGCGGAACTTCTTTGGGCTTCTGTCTCAAGGATTGTGAACGAAAAACCCCTAAATCTTGAAAAGACGACTTCTAGTGGTTTATCTGTGTTGTTATTAATCTATGGCACAAAGGTTCATGGTGATATCCCCGTAGTTTGTATATTATTCAGAGCTTTGCAATATGCATATTCAATATTCATATTTCTTTGTGTCAGAGTTAAAATCTTGCATCAAACAATTATATGATCAAAAATGTGTGGAGAGTGTTTAATTCTGACATTTTCTTCTGTATCGTTTCTAAAGCAGAAATGCACGATTAAAAATTAAAAATTACCATCTTCCGAAGAGAATATGATTGATATTTGGTGCATCCTTGATCAGACAATGGTTTAAAGAGTACCGTTGTGAATCCGACACGCCACTTTACAAATGGAAGGTCACGTGAAATTACATCTTCAATCCCTTTAAAGTATAAAATAACGAATAAAAAGCCTGTTCAACACTTTCCCTGCATTGTGCAGACCATGTAGTGCAGTTAAGTTTGAACAGGGCAGTAAACATGAGGAAATGCAGATGAAGTCACTGCTTTGTACATTAACTACATTTAGAAGACATTTTTATGATTGCTGTTCTATTCTCCATTGATGAATTTTGCCTAAAAAGTATTCATGAATGCAACACTATATATGTACACTGTATCTACCCCCACAAAGAATATTCCAGGCTTCTCCTTTCTCAACCCTGCATTGATTGTTTAAAGCTCTATTTTTATAAAACCTGTATTGATGCAAACATTTATCCAAAGAGAATAGAATATATATTAGAGTGGAATTTACTAGAAAAAAAGTGGAAAACGGCCATTTTGTTGTACTGTTTCCATACTGCAGGTGTACTTCACATAATTGTGCTATTTAACCTTTTGGGCCCTGGAACATCATTTTATAGAAAATCGAAAATTAATATTAAAAGAAATTCAAATTATGAAATAGGCCAATGATCATTTCACATAGACTCTATGCTTTTCACTTTACAAACGATGATTTTCTGTTATAACTATAAATCAAATTATGTTTTTTATTCAGCTAATTCATTTTATAAAGTTTATTTATCAGCTTTAAAAAATTCGAAATTGAAATGGATAGTCTAGGGAACATACTGTATTAATGTACTCTACTGCATATCATTTGTGAACATTTACATGACTTGTACAGTTTGAACTCCATTTCAGGCTGAAAGGGACTGACAAAATTCATACCGATGGATTGACTAAATTCCACTCTAATATATATTCTATTCTCTTCGCATTTATCAGTCTAAAACATTCATTTAAAAACATGTTTATAGGGAATGCAAGCAAAGTTTTTTAAGTTACCCGATCCATGCAAAGATGACAATGCCCGTTTTACAACGGCTCCCATAGAAGCTTAGATATCAATGTTTTGTTTCTTGCAACTGTTTATTTTCAATTACGGTTTCTCTGCGAAAGTATCTTGAGCATTTCTTTAATGGGAAATATCTGCTAATGTCTTCGAACATTGAAATGTTTCGCAATGGATTTCTTAGCAAATAATTATACTGAACAAAAAATCATTATATAAATGTAATGGAATAGAGAAATTACTGTAAATAAAAGTTCTATACTAATGCACTCAACAGTGTGGATATTCCTTGTTTTAAACAATATTCTGTTTGAGATTTAGATGACTAAATATAATGATTGTAATAAAACAATTAGAGAATTCAAACAGTGACTAAAAAAAATATAAACTTTTAGGAAGATGCAATTTTAATATTTTACTCTAAAAGGCAGAACAACGTGAAGAAGGATGCAATATTAACATTAATTAACTTTAGCCGGAGACGAACAAACGCAACAACCCGAGCTGTAGGAGGATAAAAAAAATAATCAAATTATGAACCTGCGGGAGGATGCTATATAAACATGATATATTTCTAGGTGTACACGTATTAACCTGTGGGAGGATGCAATATTATCATGATATATTTCTAGGTGGAGATGAGCACACATGTAAACCTGCGGGAGGATGCAATATTAACATGTTATATTTCTAGGTGGAGATGGGCACACGTGTAAACCTGCGGGAGGATGCAATATTAAAATGTAATATTTCTAGGTGGAGATGAGCACAGCATGTAAACCTGCGGGAGGATGCAATATTAACATGATATATTTCTAGGTGGAGATGAGCACACGTGTAAACCTGCGGAAGGATGCAATATTAACATGATATATTTCTAGGGGGAGATGAGCACACATGTAAACCTGTGGGAGGATGCAATATTGACATGATATATTTCTAGGTGGAGATGAGCACACATGTAAACCTGTGGGAGGATGCAATATTAACATGATATGTTTCTAGGTGGAGATGAGCACACATGTAAACCTGTGGGAGGATGCAATGTTAACAATGGAGGATGTTCTCACACCTGTATTGACAGTTATAATCAGGTAGAAAGAGTGTTTTATCATTTATTGCTTTAATCTACTAATGTAAAGTTGTAAAATTCTTTTCTGCTAGCTATGTAATGTACAGTCTATATGTACATGTACATAACTATTTAAAAGTATTCTTAATGTTTTTTTTCCCATTTACTGTACTGTTGTAAGGTTTTCTGTATGTATTCTGCTAGTTATGTACTGTACTGTTGTAATGTGTTCTGGATGTGTCCTGCTGTTTATGTACTGTACCGTTCTAAGGTGTTCTGGATGTGTCCTGCTGGTTTTGTACTGTACTGTTGTAAGTTGTTCTGTATGTGCTATGCTGGTTTTGTACTGTACTGTTGTAAGGTGTTCTGTATGTGTTCTGCTGGTTATGTACTGTACTGTTGTAAGGTATTCTGCTGGTTATGTACTGTACTGTTGTAAGGTGTTCTGTATGTGTTCTGCTGGTTATGTACTGTACTGTTGTAAGGTGCTCTGCTGGTTATGTACTGTACTGTTGTAAGGTGTTCTGTATGTGTCCTGCTGGTTATGTACTGGGAGCTGACTGGAAGGAATGTGAGGATGTGAATGAGTGTGAGACAGATAACAATGACTGCTCCCAACTTTGTATAAATGTACCAGGTAACAGGAAAATGTTCTAAAACTTTCATTTGCTAATAGAATTGTTTTCGGAAAACTAAAATTTTTGCAAAATCGATTTATTTAATTAAACTATAAACTGCTTAAAAAGCCAGTTATGTTCTTTCTCTAAGTGAAACCTTTCATCTGTTTAGGTTCTGCTCATTGTGCGTGCATGAGAGGGTTTGAGATGTTACAGAACTCAAGCTGTGTAGACATTAATGAATGCGAGATTGACAATGTTTGCTCTCAGACATGCACTAACACAGAGGGATCTTATCTTTGCTCTTGTGACACAGGTTTTAAACATAAAAGTATTTATAGATGAGCGAGTATTTTGCGCGTGAAACGTTCGATCGTGCGCCTTACAGTAGTGAATATACAATATAAAATACAGGTATAGTCAAAGTGTGGTATATTAAGGATATATCTTGGGTCTTGACAGATAGATATAGTGTGGTATATTAAGGATATCCGATATATGCTGGGTCCTGACAGTAAAGATATAGTGTGGTATATTCAGGATATATCCTTGGTCCTGCCAGTATAGATATAGTGTGGTATATTAAGGATATATGCTGGGTCCTGACAGTATAGGTATAGTGTGGTAATTTAAGGATATATTCTGGGTCCTGACAGTATAGGTATAGTGTGGTATATTAAGGATATATGCTGGGTCCTGACAGTATCGGTATAGTGTGGTATATTAAGGGTATATGCTGGGTCCTGACAGTAGGTATAGTGTGGTATATTAAGGATATATGCTGGGTCCTGACAGATAGGTATAGTGTGGTATATTAAGGATATAACCTGGGTCCTGACAGTATAGGTATAGTGTGGTATATTAAGGATATATGCTGGGTCCTGACAGGGTTGAATGTGAGGATATTGATGAATGTCTAGTGGACAATGGAGGTAAGATTAAAGTAAATCTATCTAACCTAAACCATTGAAAATATCTTAAACCGGATCCTTGAATTCACAACTTCATACTCAAGTAAGAGTTAGAGTCTAGAGATTATTAATTTAAAACGAGACTGAACAATATAAAATAAATTCTAGTTTCAATCGTTGCTGTGTAAAAGAAAATATCAATCATGCCAATTGTTCCGGAAAAAAATGGTTTCATTTCGGTTCAGCCGTTCTGATGTTCAATTTGCAGCAATAATTTAAATATTTCAATTGCTTCTTATTTTTAAATTCCCGTTAGGTTGTTCTCAGTTATGTATTAACAAGGAAGGAAGTATGGAGTGCGGATGTCAGGTATAAAATGTACCTAGAAGAACGCTATACGCTATTTATATAAAAAACGCTACACTAATAAAACACTACCTATATAAAATGCTACACTAATAAAACACTACCTATATAAAATGCTACACTAATAAAACACTACCATAGAAAATGCTTCTCATAAAAAAACTATTTATATAAAACGCTTCCATAAACTATGGAATGAATATCGCTTTTGTTCTTTCTTTTACCAAGAAATATTGTAATTTGTTGAAACTGATATATTTATAAATAGTTGGGTTGTAAACTTGTAAAAAAATAACTCTCCAGCCACATCTCATAATTAAAAGAAAAAAGATAACGACGAGAATTTCACTGTTTTCTGGTTTCCACTTTATATAAAATATTTTCAATAAAATAATAATAATTTATTACTCATCCTTCTTTGAATTGATAAGGTTGGGTTCCATCTGGACTCTGATACTGGAGAATGTGAGGATGATGACGAATGCTCCAGGTTGGAAGGATTGTGTGAACACGGAGACTGTATTAATACTGCTGGAAGTTACACATGCAGCTGCCATCAGGTTTATGATAATGATTTTAAAGAATATTTAACTTAACAATCAGGTTGAAGAATATTTTATATATATATTTTATAAGTAAATCAGGCAAATGTACTTAAAGTTACAATCAAGACACATCTACACAACCCTTCATCTCCAGTCAATAAAAATGTGTCTCTGTAAAATATTGTTTCAGTGATCTTTGTCTCGTATAGTTCTCATGTTTAGGGATTTGAATATACCGAAGGATCATGCAGTGATGTGAACGAGTGTGAGGATGACCCTTGCGGCGAGGTCGGGGTCTGTACAAATCTACCTGGAAGCTATGAATGCATGTGTCAACCTGGTTACAGGTAAACTAAAATAATATAAAAAAAATTGCAAAAAAGGGATTGTTCACGTAATATTGAAGGATTCTTTGCTTAAAAGAGTGTGCCTTAAAAACTCTAGTTGAGAAACAAGAGTGGTGAACTAGAGGTCGTTTTTTTTGTATAAATTCACAGATTGCTTCATGGAACAAGCAGATTGAAAACAAAAATATCTCTTTCATCTCTTTGATCTGAATCTTTAATGCCACTTTACCAAACTTGAAATCCCTTTAAACAGCATTTAAAGAACACAGTTTAATTTGATAAAGTTAAATTTTAGTTTTACTGGATTTTCTTGTATGGATCTTGACGAGTGCATGATTGGAAATCCTTGCGTTCATGGAAACTGTACAAATCTGGAGGTAATACAACCAGTTAGGATTGTATTATTATGGGTACAAAAAAATAAGATGTAATCGTTCCGGTCTAGTCCCAGCAAGCTTTCCCTATCTCCAACTAAAAGTGTTTTTAAACAACCAGTTGTCAAATTTTTGGACATTTTTAAAATCTGTTTAACATTTTTTATTTAACAACGTAAACTTGCGAGAGCCACTCAAAAACAGATTTTACTCAAAATTTAGGTTTGAAAAAAAACTTATGCAATTATTTTTTTTGTTTTTTCAATTATTTTAAGAAAATATAAGTTTTTCATTCAGTTTTATGTAATATTTAATGTTAGTCATTTACTGATTTGGTGTGAATTTTATCTATATAATAAAGCTCTTTGTTCGTATATATACCAAGTTAGCTGATTTTTTTTAGGAAACCCATGGGTACCCGGTACCCGGGGGTGACATAGGCTAAAAAATCAATATTTGTTTTCTTCAAAATTTGAAATTTAAAAAAAAAATGTCCTGTGTTTTTAAAATTCCACGTGAAACTCCGGGCACTTCAGCTTGTAATTTATGATTTACATTCGAGAATTTCCAAACCAAAATTATAATTAAAATTTTGAGTATCTCCAAACATAAAACGTCCAACAAAATATTTTCTTATTGTCAGATATTTTAGAAAGATATAAAAATGGTCAAAAAGTAAGACATCGGTTAAAAATGGACTCTCATCTTTTAACTAGCGGGTTTTATAGCTTAAGAATGTAGTAAATTTTTGTTAAAACAATTTGTATAAATCCATATTTAGGGTGGATATGATTGTGAATGTGAACCTGGATATTATGAGGAGGAAGGAACATGTCTGGATATCGATGAGTGTATTGTATCCAATCCTTGCGGAGTGGGAGTCTGCATCAATATAATGGGTAAAATTCAATATACAGAAGATATCAAATAAAAAAGAAAAGTGGGTTGAAAGAAAATTAGAATTTTTTTTTTGGAAATATAATCATAAAGTTTGAAATAAAAGTCCTGTGGAAAAAAGTTTTAGAAATAATAGGTTTTTGGAAGTTTCTACCATTTTCAGGCTTTTGTTTTCCAGGGAACCCAAAAACCAAGACTTTACTTGACATAATTGGAAACTAAAAACATTTTCCCAGGTTTCCCGCTACTTCTCGCAGTTTGGTCCAGTAACTTAGGAAGCTTTGACTTTCGATCACAATTTGAACTATTGAACATAAATTTTTCTCTTCTATACTTTTTTGTGTGTAAATGAGTTTTTAATGAATAAGACAACTCCGTAAGTTTAAATATTGACATAATTATTGAATTCCAATTGAAGAAACCAAGGTAAGTACATAGTAACTCTCCTACATAGATTTCTAAGTAGGAATTTAAACATGATATTGCATTCCTGGAAACTAGAGGATTAAAATAAATCCTGGCTTATTTATATATCTAGGAAATTATGATTGCTCCTGCCCAGCTGGATATGAGAGAAAGGACGGAGGTTGTCATGATATTGATGAATGTCTGGTTTCCAACCCTTGCGGTCAACATGGAGATTGTTCTAATTTACCTGGATCCCACCACTGCACATGTCATCCAGGTTATCTTTCTTCTACAGTAAAACCCAAAAAATTTTGGAAAGGGAAGACGACTTTAAAAGTAAAGTGTTGTTTTGTCCAATAAACTTGAGACACAGCAAATTTTAGAGTAAACAGACCCATTTCACTTAATAAGTGATTTAAAAAGTTACTAGTATAACTATTTGCTTTGTAAAAACATCAAATACACTTTAATATTGCTATAATGTCGCCTTCCTATTCCAAAATTTTCTGGTTCTCACTGTAGTATTCTTTAAAGAAATATAAATATTCTGATCTATAAGCGAGAGGAAATTGGGCTTGTAAAATATTATAAAGGATCTGATTAATTATGTAAAACTTTTTTTCTAATCCTGATATCTCAGTAACATTATTTCGACTGAATTAAATAGTCAGAGTTTGAAAGTTCACACTATCAAGTTGCAAAGATATAAGGATGATAAAATTAGAAAGGGAAATTTAGAAAGAAAAAAACTCCTTTATCTCAATATCTTAAATGGCCAAAAAAGTGTTTATTAATATAAAAAAAAAACTATGCATTTTTTCTGGAAAAATATTTTTCGTCAAGCTATTATTGATATTATAAGATGATTAACCTAAATGGTTTCAGGGTTTGAGCTGATGAACGGAGAGTGCAAAGATATAGACGAATGTTTGATTAACCCTTGTATCGGAGGAAAATGCACTAATCTATTAGGAATAGAAAACCTTCAGAAACAAAATTTAAAAAAAAAATTTGAAGTTCTCAATTGAAATCATTTTGATTACAACTGCTTAAACTAAGGTTGGATATCAGGAAGTTTTGAGTGTATGTGTAATCCTGGATTTCTCCTGGATGGATTAACATGTATAGATATCAACGAATGTTCAGAAAACAATGGTGGATGTCATCATACCTGCGTAAATACAATCGGATCTAGAACCTGCATGTAAGTATTGATTTTCAAATTCTTAGTGACAACTTCACAAAAAAAGGATAACAAAGTCCAAACTGCTGATATTAAATTTTTCCGGCAGTCGTACTTCACCTACATGTGAGTAAATATCCCAGTATTTAACTGGAAATATAGTTCTACACGTGAGCTAATATCTAACTATTCAACTAGAGATATAGTTCTACATGTGAGTAAATATCCCAGTATTTAACTAGAAATATAGTTCTACACGTGAGTAAATATCTCAGTATTCAACTAGAGATATAGTTCTACACGTGAGTAAATATCTCAGTACTCAACTAGAAATATAGTTCCACGCGTAAGTAAATACTTAAGTATTCAATTAAAAATACAGTTCTACACATGAGTAAATATCCCAGTATTCAACTAGAGATAAAGTTCTACACGTGAGTAAATATCCCAGTATTCAACTAGAAATACAGTTCTACACGTGAGTAAATATCCCAGTATTCAACTAAGATACAGTTCTACACATGAGTAAATATCCCAGTATTCAACAAGAGATACAGTTCTACACGTGAATAAATATCCCAGTATTTAACTAGAAATATAGTTCTACACGTGAGCAAATATCTAACTATTCAACTAGAGATATAGTTCTACATGTGAGTAAATATCCCAGTATTTAACTATAAATATAGTTCTACACGTGAGTAAATATCTCAGTATTCAACTAGAGATATAGTTCTACACGTGAGTAAATATCTCAGTATGCAACTAAAAATACAGTTCTATACGTGAGTAAAAATCCCAGTATTCAACTAGAGATACAATTATACACATGAGTAAATATCCCAGTATTCAACTAGAGATACAGTTCTACACGTGAGTAAATATCCCAGTATTCAACTAAGATACAGTTCTACACATGAGTAAATATTCCAGTATGCAACTAGAAATACAGTTCTATACGTAAGTAAATACTTAAGTATTCAATTATAAATACAGTTCTACACATGAGTAAATATCCCAGTATTCAACTAGAGATACAGTTCTACACGTGAATAAATATCTCAGTATTTAACTAGAAATATAGTTCTACATGCGAGCAAATATCTAACTATTCAACTAGAGATATAGTTCTACATGTGAGTAAATATCCCAGTATTTAACTATAAATATAGTTCTACACGTGAGTAAATATTTTAGTATTCAACTAGAGATATAGTTCTACATGTGAGTAAATATCTCAGTACTCAACTAGAAATATAGTTCTACACGTAAGTAAATACTTAAGTATTCAATTATAAATACAGTTCTACACATGAGTAAATATCCCAGTATTCAACTAGAGATATAGTTCTACACGTGAGTAAATATCCCAGTATGCAACTAGAAATACAGTTCTACACTTGAGTAAATATCCCAGTATTCAACTAGAGATACAATTATACACATGAGTAAATATCCCAGTATTCAACTAGAGATACAGTTCTTCACGTGAGTAAATATCCCAGTATTCAACTAAGATACAGTTCTACACATGAGTAAATATTCCAGTATTCAACTAGAGATACAGTTCTACACGTGAATAAATATCCCAGTAGTTAACTAGAAATATAGTTCTACACGTGAGTAAATATCCCAGTATTCATTCACAGAACAATATTTCTAATTGAATACTGATATAGTTTTACACGTGAGTAAATATATCAGTATTCAATTAGAAATATAATTCAACACGTGAGTAAATATCCCAGTATTCAACTAGAAATATAGTTCTACACATGAGTAAATATCCCAGTATTTAACTAGAGATATAGTTCTACACGTGAGTAAATATCCCAGTATTCAACTAAAAATATAGTTCTACACGTGAGTAAATATCCCAGTATGCAACTAGAAATACAGTTCTACACGTGAGTAAATATCCCAGTATTCAACTAGAAAAACAGTTCTACACATGAGTAAATATCCCAGTATTTAACTAGAAATATAGTTCTGCACGTGAGTAAATATCCCAGTTTTCAACTAGAAATATAGTTCTACACGTGAGTAAATATCCCAGTATCTAACTAGAAATATAGTTCTACACGTGAGTAAATATCCCAGTTTTCAACTAGAAATATAGTTCTACACGAGAGTAAATATCCCAGTTTTCAACTAGAAATATTGCTCTGTGAATGAATAGAATAAAGTAGGAGGTCTGCACTACTGTTATGGAAAGAATCCATTTAAATAAAGATTTCAATTGCATTGCAGACTGCAAACTTCAGGTTTAATACGATCTAAACCCATTCTGGTCAAATCTTGCATTAACAGGACTTAACAGACTTATCTGCTTTAATTGGGTGGAATACAGTCTCAAAATTTCATGGAGAGTTAATTTTAATGAAATTAAGATTTTTTTGATAAAATCTATGAGTTTTCCGAACATTAAATTAATATGATCATGGTTACTAATACAGCTTTGCGTTCTAACAAAAACTACGAATTTGAATTCTTGCATCAAGAAACCATTATGGGTTTAAAATTAATAGTTTTTACAGGTACCTTGCAATAAAAAATAACGTTTTTGTATAAACTAGATTTTTAAAATAAATTAAACTATAGTTTTCTACAAAACGGATAATTTTACGCTTATATAAATATATAACTCATAAAATATAATTAAAAGTTTGCAAAAAAAGAGATAAAAAAATAATAAAAAAGTGAAATATGGCTGATTGTATGACAGCCTAAGTGCTATACGACTATTCGATGGTTAAAGATGTCAACCCCCTAAATAATATTTTAGCGTAGAAAAATAATAGATTTTTTAGCAGACTACTCAGGAAGACTTGTAAGGAATTGAGTGGGTGGTATGTATGAGTCACTCCTTCTTTTGGAATCTTATAATTAGTTCGGACTCTAAACAAGGTCTGTGCAAACTTACCAAGACCAAGATAAGCCGGCTCTCTTTACTATACTGCGAGCAGTATTCACGCTCATATTCATATTCAATATTCATACAAGGCTTCATGTATAAATTATCCGTTTTAAGCATCTCATATAACTTCTTTTAGATAAACTCTCCTTTTATTAAGCCCCCCTCCTATAAATGGCCTCAAATACTATAAATTGGTCCCTCCTATAAATTGCCTCGAATACTAGAAATTNTTGCTTTAAATACTAGAAATCCCTCCCCTTCTTCCTAGAAATGGCCTCGAATACTAGAAATCCTCCCTCCCCTCCAATAAATGGCCTCCAATACTAGAAATTGCTCTTCCTTCCTCCTAAAAATGGCCTCCAATACTAGAAATTATTGTAATAATCCAGATTACCCCTAATCATGTTATTATGGTGGATGAGAACCCAAAACTAAAATCTGCTCCGTAAAAGGTTTGAATATCCATGGATAAATTAAGGATGACAAATAAGGATTGCGATGAGGATCAACTACAAATATGCCGCTTACGCACTCCAATCCATCAAATTCTTTATATCTTCGTTATACAATTAGCCATAATATTTTATTCAACAAAAACTAATCGAATCGGACCTAAAGCTTATTTATTTGATAAGAAATATCTTTTTTGCTGCAAATTTTAACTATCAGCTTTATTTTTTGTATTTTGTTTCTTTACAAATTGTACAATAATTTTAGGAATAGAAATTGAATGTATATAAAAGACAATGAAATCATTATAATACATCTAAATCAAGAAAATTCTAAGATTACAATGACCATGATGTTTGATGTAAATTGAAGTGGATTCTAGAATTAGAATTACTCCTTTAAATGGATAAATGAAGAATAATATAAGTCTAGGATATGTAATATGTATATACGTAAAATAAAGAGGATTCTAGAATGAATATAAATCCTTGTCTAAAACTGTAGAGGATTCTAGAATGAATATATCTCCTTGACTATAACTGTAGAGGATTCTAGAATGAATATAACTCCTTGTCTATAACTGTAGAGGATTCTAGAATGAATATAACTCCACGTCTATAACTGTAGAGGATTCTAGGATGACTATGACTCCATGTATATTGTATGTACGTAAATGTAGAGGATTCTAGGATGATTATGACTCCATGTATATTGTATGTACGTAAATGAAGAGGATTCTAGGATGATTATGACTCCATGTATATTGTATGTACGTAAATGAAGAGGATTCTAGGATGATTATGACTCCATGTCTACAAATAAAAGGATTCTAGGTCGGATGAGTATGACTCCATCTATATATAAATTTGGCTTGTCTGTCTGTTTGGCTGTCTGTTTGTTTGTATCCAATAAACGTCAAAACGGCTGAACCGATCGGGCCCACATTTTTTGTGGGACATCTAGGGACCCCAGGGAAGGTTTATGAATGATCAAAATTTCAAATATTTGTCTCCATCAAAATTCGATCCTCATTAAATTTTTGAAAATATTGAAAATCCACAGAATTTTTTTTGTGAAAATCCGCGAATTATTTTTGTTTTGTTTTACGATGTTCACAAAGAGAACATGTTCACATTTAATTTAGAAGATGAGCGCGAAGCGCCCTCTAAGGCTAGTATGTCTATAAATGAATAGGATCCTACGATGAATATGGCTCCATTCCTATAAATGAATAGGATCCTACGATAAATATGGCTGCACGCCAATAAATGAATAGGATTCTAGGATTAGTGTAACTATGTTTATAAATAAATAGTATTATTCTACGATGAATTTAACTCCTAGGTTTGACTCCATGTCTTTAAATGAATAGGATTCTAGGATGAGCTTAACTCCAGGTCTATAAATGAATAGGATTCTTGAATGAGTTTAAATCCAGGTCTATAAATGAATAGGATTCTAGAATGAGTTTAACTCAATGTCTATGAATGAATGGGATTCTAGGATGGGTTTGACTCTATGTCTATGCAGTTTACTTGAAGTGAAATAAATATGGTTGACAAGGGTTTGTCTGCTCCTGAGTAATGATATCTACCCTGAGACCTGAATTCCTATTTGGTTCTGAACCCGCAGGATTATGTATTCATCTCCTTAACAGGATAGGTAGGGATCGGGGTGCGGGGGGATTAGGGGTAATCAGAACCTAAATCTTCCAGATATTAAAAGTGTCAAGCTTTAAGTTGAGTGTTGGGTACCATTAAGAATGTGTCTAATTATCCCACAATCTACATGTATCTTCTTAAATGAATTTATTTTTCTTTTCATACATTTTATTGTTTGTTTTCAATCGGGCCCAATATTATATATAATATATGATATATCTACAATCTACATATATATTTTAGCGTGTTCTTATTTCAGGTGTGAATCAGGGTTTAATCTTCACCCTGAGGATGAAACTAAATGCGAGGATAGAGATGAATGTGCAGAGGACAACGGAGGTTGTGATCAGACCTGTATCAATACTCCAGGAGGACATAGATGTGAATGCAGGTCTGGTTTTGTACTCCAGGGAGGTCAATGCGAGGATATCGATGAATGCAAGATTAATAATGGAGGTTGTGAACAGGTTAGATTTTTGAAAATAAAAAGATCATAAATATTTCAAAAATCTACATATTTTTTGTTAGGATTGTAAAAACACTCCAGGGGGTAGAGAATGTCTCTGTAAGAGAGGATTTCTCTCCCATCCTCACAATCAATCTATCTGTGTCGATATTGACGAGTGTACGGAGTCTAATGGTGGTTGTGATCAGATTTGTTGGAACTTCCCTGGTGGTCGGAGGTGTGATTGCCGGAAGGGGTTTCAGCTTCTCTATGATAAACTAACATGCGGAGATCTGAACGAGTGTACAAAACAAAATGGTGGATGCTCTCACTCGTGTACAAATGTTGAGGAATGTTAATGATAATTTTGAATATTTTAAACATTAACAAAGAATATACGAAATTTGATGTGTAATGTGCACCCCTCTTTCTTAAAAATAGCAACCTCCCAGAACTATCTCTATATTTTAAACTAATCTAACCTGTAAGGATAATAACGGAAGGTTGCTCTGTTTAAAAAGGTGTGGCGGGGATTATTGGTCCAGAAAAACAACGAGAGCACGTTTATACTTTATTCATTCTTCAATAATCATAGACATTGACAGGGTGGATATATATGTGGATGCCCGGCTGACCACGAACTAGGACCTGATGGAAGGACGTGTGTTCAGATTGAGAAAATAATGTGTCCTCGTATACTAGGACCAAGGTTTGGATTCTACAAGTGTACCCGGAGAAGGACTAGTCTTGGATATGAGGTTGGAACCAAGTGTATGATGAAGTGCAGGAAAGGGTTTAAACCTGTCTCTGACTCCAGGAAAAAATGTATGGAGGACGGAGGGTGGCGAGGGGACGAGGGTGAATGTCGTCCTCTCACCTGTCCTCAGCTTTTCCAACCAACCAATGGAAGGGTTGAGCCGACAAATTGTGTATCAGGTAAATAACCTCGATATGTCAAATCCAACCGATTAATTGGAATATAAATATGTAATTGGAGAAATAAATCTAACCTAGATCTTAACATGCTGATAGTAAATCCTCCCCTGACTAGACTGATAAGATATGATTAATGTTTAGTTAGATCACTCAGATTGTTAAACCGGAGTACTCTATAAATCCTAGTATAGCAGATTTAACCGTCTTCATTAAACCAAATGATAAAGTTGACGGACGATTTAGAACCCTCTCTCCCTGATATGACTGCGATCCTAGTTATGAGGGCAAGAACTTTTTATTGTCCCACCATATCTTACATCTAGGGGTTGATTTATTCAATTCTTTCTAAGATTTATTATAAGATTCTATAAAGATGGTTTCATTTCTTAATTATTAAATAATCATAACTGGTTTGGTTAGACAAAAACAAGGGGGGCCAGGGGGTTACACAGAATTAGAATTAACAGTTTATGTAATCTGAAAGATCAGATATGTCCAGCAAGAAGCTTTATATTCAATTTTCAGACAAAAAGTGTTCATGCCATAAATCATGTATAAGATGTAGATACAAAATAGAATGTATGATTAAATATAAAATATGTTTGAGGACCGAACCCATTAAATACAAAGTGTGAATTTCTCTGCAATTCTGGATATAAGCTAAGCGGATCAAGGTAAGGATAACATTTATATGATTAATCTTTTAATTCTTAAATTAAAAGAATTGAACACTTGCCTCAAACAAACATCTTTGCAACCTGATGATGTAAACCTTCAAAGCGTTGACCATGCTTAATCTAACAGAATCTATAGTTATAGATAGGTCAACAAAATCAGGTTTGAATGTTATAAGAATCAGAAAACTAGAGTTTAAGTCAATTGTTCAGTTCCTTTTAAGGTTACATTTTATTTAAGCATATTTACGCATCTTTCAGCTTTCATTCTTACTTACAGGCACGCTAAGTGTGGTGGAAAAGAGGAATGGAAGTATTTTGAAGGACCTCCATCTTGTGTCTCAGATTTCCCGCCACCATTTATAATGTGTCCATCAGACCAAACCAAACCTTTGCCCCAAGGATCGTCTTCGGTTTATGTTATGTTTCCTCAACCTAAAACCAATGTTGATTGGTTCAGGTAAAATATTTCAACTTCATGCACAATTATTAAGTCTTAGCAACTCCGTTTTTGATTATATTTCTCATGCTTTACTAAATCAAATACCTATTTTCCTGAATGGTGCCTTCTGGACCACCTTTATGTTCTATGCTCCATTATTCAAACATTAAGTTAATGAACCAGACAACTGAAAGGTGAACAAACGGGACAATTTTCAATAATTCTAATCCTTAAATCACAAGAAACCAATTTTTTCTTTAAACCAAAAAATGTCTTCTGATCTACAGTTAATTAATAATCTTAGGTATGTTGAGTCAAATCCAAGTTGGGCAAAGCAGTTGGAGGGAGAGATGAAACTAGGACGTCACGTCCTGGAATTCAAAGCTCGGAGCCCAGGATCCAACCAAACAGCATCCTAACAAATGGTAATACACGTGAAGGATACAGAACCTCCTCGAGTAGTGAGCTGTCCCCACTCCTTCGTCGACCACCTGGAGAGAGGACAAAAGATAAAAAGGATAACTTGGGAGGAACCTGTATTTAAGGATAATGTTGCAATCCAACACGTGATGGCCTCATATCTTCCTGGACATTATTTCTCCGAGGGTCGCCATCATGTTCTCTACCAGGCTGCAGACGGAGACGGAAACAGAGCTAGATGTGGATTCACGATCACTCTTAAACAAAGAGAAATTTCTCACTATCATAAAACCCCGAAACCTAGTTCCAGAAAATTTTACAATCCCCAGCAGCATCTACCGCCACCTATCGCTGTTCCCTCGCCTCGGCACCTGCAGATACCTCAGCAATGCCACGACGTCCCAACGGTTCCAAACGGTCGAATGGCATGTATTGATAGAAAAGACAGTAAGAAGTGTACTCCAGTCTGTGAAAGAGGTCATGTGTTCTACCAGAAGTTCAGCTACCGTCCCCCAACATATCTCTGTTCATCCAGAAGAATAGATTGGAAGATAAACAGATTCATTCCTGACTGTTCTCCGGTAAAGAAAACTCTGACAGCTGGGATGTGTCCTGAAGGTTGGGAAGCTAGAGATAACACGTGTATCGCCTGTCCTCCGGGTATGTACCGAAACACAGCGTCCCTTTGTCAGCTCTGCTCTCAGGGAACATTCTCAGACCAGTTCGGTGCTAAGGATTGCCAGCAGTGCTCTCCAGGAGAATACACAAACAGCCTTGGTAATGACGTAAAATAAGTAAATTATAATGAACTAAAACAAATTCGATCTGTTTAACACTGTTTGCAACTTCGGGATTTTGTAGGTTCGGGCAAATATAATTCCGGCAAATGTAACGTCGGAATTTTGTCTTTCGATCTTTTGTAATTCGGCAAGTAATCAAATCCTTTATCTTCTAATTGTTATGCTTCTGGTTTGATGAACCTGACTTTGTTTCAGGTTCAAGGCATCAAAGTGATTGTAAGCCAGGCAACTACGGGAAGAAGAATAGAGGAAGGCAAGTCTGAACCTTATACATTACATTTTTATCTGAATATGTATTGGAAGCAAAACATGATGCTTTAGTTGTATTAAATCAACATGATTTAAACTATAAAGGTTCTTATTACATTTTTTTATAAAATCCCAATTCTAAATCAAGTCAAACTATTAGCTTTAACGCCACTAAAATAATTCATTTTTATATCACTGAATTTCCTGTCTGTTATATATGTAACTGAATACTACAGGGTGTCCCACGAAACATGACAGTTAGTGTATAATTTAAAATGTCCTCTTACATAATTACTCAAGTTGTTTAATACCAAAGAGAATAATAAGAATATTTAATGGTAGTCATATTACAGTAAAATTGATTTCAAAGTAAAATATATTTTAGTAAAAGATTTTATTGAACGAAAAAAGGCTAAAAATCTTTAATATCTATTGCAGTATAGGAAAGAAGACATTCAAAATTATTTACCAACTGTCATTTTTCGTGAGAAACCCTGTATATCCCTCGAGTAAAATTAATATTTTTGTTTGTACAGAATTGTACAAAGTGTACATAGAGGAGGCAGAACAGGATTATTACATTACAACAGTTGGTTAAACGAGGAACCCTACAGGTGCAGTACAGTTGGTTTAAAAAGAAACGCTACAGGTACAGTACAGTTGTTTAAATAAGGAACCCTACAGGTGCAGTACAGTTGGTTAAACAAGGAACCCTACAGGTGCAGTACAGTTAGTTTAACAAGGAAGCCCACAGGCGCAGTACAGTTGGTCTAATAAGGAACCCTACAGGTACAGTACAGTTGGTTTATTAAGGAACCCTACAGGTGCAGTACAGTTGGTTTATTAAGGAACCCTACAGGTGCAGTACAGTTGGTTTAAAAAGAAACGCTACAGGTACAGTACAGTTGGTTTATTAAGGAACCCTACAGGTGCAGTACAGTTGGTTTATTAAGGAACCCTACAGGTGCAGTACAGTTGGTTTANGAAATGCCCTATCTATGAAATGTCCTATCCATGAAATGTCATATCTATGAAATGTGCTATCTTTTAAATGTTCTATCAATGAAATGTCCTATCTATGAAATGTCCTATCTATGAAATGTCCTATCTATGAAATATCTTTCTATGAAATTTCTTCCTATGAAATGCCACAACGCCATTTTTCACCCCTTCATGCCTTCTCCGGGCCCCAGTCCCTACCCTCTACCAGGATACCAGTTCTCACTCTCTACCAGGATACCAGTCCCAACCCTCTACCAGGATACCAGCCCCAACCTTCCACCAGGAGACCAGTCCTCACCCTCTACCAGAATAGTAGTCCCCAACCTCTACCAGGATACCAGTCCTCACCCTCTACTGCAGGATACCAGTCCCAACCCTCTACCAGGATACCAGTTCTCACTCTCTACCAGGATACCAATCCTCACCCTCTACCAGGATACCAGTCCCCACCCTCTACCAGGATACCAGTCCAAACCCTCTCACAGGATACCAGTCCCCACCCTCTACCAGAAAACCAGTTCTCACCCTCTATCAGGATACCAGTCCCCACCCTCTCCCAGGATACCAGTTCTAACCCTCTACCAGGACACCAGTCATCACCCTCTACCAGGATACCAGTCCTCACCCTCTACCAGGACACCAGTTCTCACCGTCTACCAGGATATCAGTTCTCACCCTCTACCAGGATACCAGTTCTCACTCTCTTCCAGGATACCAGTCCTCACCTTCTACCAGGATACCAGTCCTCACCCTCTACCAGGATACCAGTTGTCACTTTCTACCAGGATACCAGTCCTAACCCTCTACCAGGATACCAGTTCTCACCCTCTACCAGGATACTAATCCCCACCCTCTACCAGGAGACCAGTCCCCACCCTCTACCAGGATACCAGTCCTCACCCTCTACCAGGATACCAGTACTCACCCTCTACCAGGATACCAGTCCTCACCCTCTACCAGGATACCAGTCCAAACCCTCTACCAGTATACCAGTCCTCACCCTCTTCCAGGATACCGATCCCCAACTCTCTACCAGGCAGTCCTACCAGTTCTCACTCTCTACCAGGATAACAGTCCTCACCCTCTACCAGGACACCAGTTCTCACCCTCTACCAGGACACCAGTCCTCACCCTCTACCAGGATACCAGTTCTCACTCTCTACCAGGATACCAGTCCTCACCCTCTACCAGGATACTAGTCCTCACCCTCTACCAGGACACCAGTTCTCACCCTCTACCAGGACACCAGTCCTCACCCTCTTCCAGGATACCAGTTCTCACTCTCTACCAGGATACCAGTCCTCACCCTCT